GCAGTTAGATGTGTTTGAGGAAGAAAACTGTATCCTCTGATAGAGAGGAAAGATGACCGTGCATAAAGCTGCACTTTAAGTGGGGAAATGTGAAGGTGARGAGATTGATGTGTTGAATCAGTAGCATAGCTGCTGTGGTCACAGCTGTTGTTGGGCAGGGTGGTAAAAAAGGCAGATTTTTCTGCCTTTTTTTTTTTTGGTCATTTGTAGTTGCCCACTTGCTGCATCTGTGTTTCTCCACCTGTCACTTGCTGTTCCATCAGTTCCTCTTAGTCACCCACTGTCGTGTACAGGACACGTCGTCCCTCTTTGTTGTGACAGGAAACTGCCCCTAGCTCTGCGCTAGGGTCACACGGGTACCGCTGGGGTTCAGATCATGCCAGCRCTTGCCCGTAATACCTTTCTTGAGGCTTTTAAGCTCAGCCACTGAGTGTCAGGGTGGATGCATGTGTCTGCAAACTCGGAAAATAAACAGGCTTTTTTTCTCTCCTTCTCCCAGTTACTTTCAAGATAAAATTCTGGGAAATAACTGCAAAGTGACATCCACGTTTGCTGTGCTTTGGAGGGTCTCGTTCAGCCTGCTGAAGAGGCAGAGCAAATACAACCTTTTCTGACTTGTGTGAGYGCGGATTCAGCCAGAATTTTAAAATCAAATCCTAGCAGGTTCTGACAGCGCTGCGTCGTRTGCGTGAGACACCAAGTAGTGCGGGCTCCTCGGTGGTTTTCCGTGTTATCCAGGAGCTTCCTCGAGGTCTCTGAGCTTTCGGMTCTGTGGAGGTGTGTGTGAGCAGGAGAGCCGCGTGCAGCTGGGGCTCCACACGCRTAGCTGGCAGTTAAACAATGTGTTTTGTCACTAAAATGCACACGCAGAGGTGGTGCTGGCAAAAGGCCCCGCATTGACTAGTCTCCTGGTGAAATCCTTCGGAAACAGGATGATGTCATTGCAAATAGCCTTGGTGGGGGGTGAGGAAGAACTTCCAGTTATGTTTGGTATTCCTTGGCTTTCTAAATGTGGAGAAGAATTAAAGTAAAAAAAGGAATGAGACCAATGTTTCTCATGCCTCTTGGGTTTTGGGTCACATTCAGATTTCTTGAGGAGCGTTTGTGTGCACAAGCAGCCTCTTATTTAAATGAAACTAATAAAGCAATGAAGAAGCTTCTAGTGCAACTGTTCACCTCCTAATTAAAGATTGGTTCTGTCAAGCAAGCAGTTTTAGGCTGTTCTYTTCTGTATGGGTTTCACAATGATTCTTACTCATCTCAGCACAAGTTGTAGTAATTTATACTTCCATCATGCAAACACACAAGCTTAACTTCAGGCATGTGAGTAGTCCTGCCAGAGCAAATGGGACTAAAGCTAGGCATATGAATAAGTATTTCCAAGGCTGAGGCCCTTCTCTGAATCTAAATATTTTTCCTCTTTGATCAGTTTTTGAGATAGCAGTTACTTGAATTCTAGTAATATTTTAGTAAGGGAGGAAGAAAACCCAACATGGTTATCTGAATGCGGTACTATTTATGGTCAGATATATTTTCAACCTCCAGGGCTGGAATGGAATGCTTTGTACTGCTGCGAGCTGGGAATCCTTCCTAGCTCGGCTGGGTTTGAGCACATGAAATCTGAAAAGTGTATATATATGTGTGTGTGTGTGTGTGTGTGTATATATATATATATATTTTTGTCTTGGCTTCTAGGTACGTTTTAGGCAGTGATGCAGTACTGAATGGTGTATGCACGGGTGAGAATTTTTAATCCATGGTGTTACTAGTTGTAGGTGTGTTTTTCTTGCTCTGCATTTTGGTAAATAGGTTTTCCTAATGCAGCATGACTAACAAGGCATACTTTTAGTAATTGGATGCATTTAAATTACTTAAATAATTTGAGGCAGTATTTAAAAAACAAAATGAGACTTGGCTTATAATTGTTCCTGGTATTTGGGAGTTGAGAGAGTGGAACAACTTGTTTGAAAATGCGCTGATGTTCATCAGTTATCAGACAAAATGTCTACAGGGTTTTATCGTGTAGCCTAAACTTGCCAGCCAGATTTGGAGTTAAATCTCCAGCTGTTAACCGCACCCCCCAGCTTGCCCAGTGTTTACAGTTGTAGGTGAAATACATTTTGTACACTACTTTTATTTTCAACATAGTAATATTTGGAAGTAAAGTAAGCTGCACTAAAAAAAGATAGCTGTTGAATAAGCTCAGAAACTCTTCTGTTTTCTCTCTTTGTGCTTTGTTTATCCACTTGCTTGCACTGTGCTTTTTGCTGTAGTCGCGTGTAGTGACATAGTYGTGAGGAGCCGAAGGACGCTTCGGCCACCCTAGAGAGGCCAGGGAGTATTCAGTTAGGAATTTGGGGGAAGAAGAGAAGCGTCTTGTACCGAGCGCTCCCCGCAGTCTGGCCAGCGGGGACATTAAGAACATCCTTCTGGTCCGAACGCAGCAGCTTGTTCCCTCTCGCGTTCCGTCATTTTATAACTGAGTGGTCTGGAAGCGCTTCAGGGCTCGGCGGGCTGTAGGAGGGGCAGGGGGAGAAGCCGTTCCTCCTTCACCTCCAGTGGAGCGGAGCAAGGGCCCCGTCCTGCTGCGCTGGCTCTCCCGGCTCGCTCCGTGGCGGCGACGCGGAGCTGCCCAACGGAGAAGGGAGCAGGGAGCGCGCCTCGCCTCGCCTCGCCTCGCTGCTGGCCCCGCTCCCCCAGCGCGGCCCTCCCGCCCCGCTCGCCCCGCACAGGAAAGCAGCTCAGGAAGCTGGCCCGCGGCCAAGGGGCTCCGGCGCTTCCGGCAGCTCTCCCGGCATGCTCCGGCTCGGCGCCCTGTGACGCAGGCCGCATTGTTGGAGCCGGCAGCGAGCCCTGCGCGCTGCGGCTCCGGACCCTCTCCCCGCGCTCCCCTAGTGCTGCCGGCTCYGTCCAGGCTACGCGGCCCCTCGCGGGTCCTGCCGCCTCGTACCCGAGTGTCGCGCCTGGTGCGGAGCGTAGTTCCGGAGCTAGGACCTCGCCGTAGGAAGCGGGAGGGTTTGGCTCCCGCTCAGCGAGACTCCTCCGCGCACTCTTAACTCCGGAGCGGGAAGGGCTGCTCCRTCTTTTAACGTTGCTCTCTGCTGCTGCGTTTGGGATTTTCTTTCGAAATCTGTAGACTTTTGAAGTCAAGAGCTTATATTATTTAAAAAAGGAAAGAAAAAAGTTTTTACATAACCTCTAAAGCACTAAAATTTAAAGTCTGCCTCCATTTGAACTCTGGATTACCCAGAACAGTGCAACAGAGAACTAAATCCACTTTTGTTTGTAAATTGTATTTTGGCTACAGTGGAGTGCAGTTGGACCTAGGGGGGCTTGTTAGGGAGCACTATGGGATAAAGTGATGCACTGAAGTGCTCCGTAAAAGTATTTCTGTTACTGAAGTTAGTACTTTTTTCATGCATCTCAAAAGTTGAAGTGCATTAGACTAAGAAAAGCAAAAAAGTATAATTCATCTCCTAAAGACCCTTCCCAGCTATAGAAGGATGGATTTTCTTTTCGTTATTCCTCAGTCTCTTTCTGCTTTCTGAATGACACACGAGGTTGGCCTGAGATGACTTCTGTGTTTTCTTTGCTTTGGGATTCGGGGTGTCTGCCCTGCATAAAATAGTTCTTTACTCACCAGAATTTCCAAGTGAATGTTCGAGAGATYTGGCTTTGCAGGAGGAGCCTAGTGAGGAGAGACAGGCCTAGGGAGGCATTTTTCATTTGCAGAGTGGATTTCTCGGGCTTCTGTGATGAAAATAATGGCCTGGGCTTTTGGGAGAAGGAAGAGGATTACCACTTATTGTTTAGTCTGTGTGCAACTTTGTTTCTTTTAGTTTTGTCTGAAATTTTGTTTCTTTTTGTGTGTAATTTTGTTTCTTTTTGTCTGTGTGCAACTTTGTTTCTTTTAATGGTGAGTAATTAACTTCTGTGCTTCTTTACCCATAGGTTCCCTAGACTTAGGCTACCAGAGAAACTCTCTATCCCCTTAGTTTTGAAAGCACTGGTGCATTTCAACTTAATTTGGTACTGTTATCTTGAAGATAGGAAATGGTTTTTTTTTTCAGATAATAGACAGGTAATATTGCCAGTGTCATTTTAATTGCATTTCACTTGCCTAATACCTCATGAGGTGCTCCCTTCAAAGGCAGACAAGGGTAGCTGTTCTTAGTGAGTGTTTGCACAGAGGTTCAGCATGTGCCAGCCTCATCCGTGCATGTGTGTCGGGAGATACGTGGTATTCCGAGGGAGGAACTAAGTTGAGCATTACCTCGGTGTAATAACTTTATGCTGTTCAAGTAGTTGCAAGGCTACTGGACTCCCCTGACTGTGCTCCTGTATATGTTATTGTAGCTATGTATTGTATTGTATTATTGGACTGGTGCTGCCTCTTTGGAGAAAGCAGCACTGGAGGTGGTGTGCCTGCTGAGCACTTTCTGCTTGTCTTAAAGGAGTGGGTTTTTATACTTTTCGTGAAAATAGAGATCGTGTTAGGAAGAGATGGTCGCATGAGCTGTAATGCTSTTAGATAATACAGACTCTGCATGGGGGAGAGAGAATTGCAATGTCATGGCTATGGGAGAACTTTCAGTTTGAGTTCACCTACCGGCTAATAAATCCATCAACAGGACACAGCCATCAAACTCGATTAATTCTTAGCATATGGAACTATTTGTTATGAGAGGAAGATGATTTGTTCCACTAGTGAAAAAGAAAGACCTATTGGGTGCAGAGTATGAGAGCTCCAGTTCTGCTTTTGCTTTTACTTCTATTGAAGACCTGAACCATATTTACAGGAGTGCTTTGCTTTGAATCAGCTGTGATGGACTAATAATTGTCTGGAACATAAGAACAAAAAAGTATTCSTTATTCTTGCTTTACGGCATTACAAAACTATAACGTGTTATTTGTGTTTAAGCATAAATGTTGATGTTAAGTAAAAATGTTGAAAAGCAAAAAGAAGAGTTCATTAAACTTATGTTATTTCTTCTTTCCAGGTTTCCTCTCAAAAAACCTACCAGGTGAGTTACTGAAGTTTAAAGCTTATTTGTATTGCAAATTACGATACAGTGTTTTGGTGAAATGAATACTTTCAGATTCAAACATCTGTGTAGTGAGATTCCTTACAGACACGTGGAAATTGGGTATCTGCTCAGGATGGGTGCCCAAAATATGCTTGGTTGACTTAAATGCATGGCATAGTGTTACCATTTGCATTAGCTATATGCACCGACTGGTTTCATCTGGAATTTGAGATGGTCAGAGCAAGTGACCTTCAATTGGTGCATAATGTACAGACACTTAATTCAAGGGGGATTTTGATCTAAAACTTTGATTTTTGTATACAAAAATTTAAAAGTTACTGAGAGAGGAAGTTGAATTAAGGAGGATTTGAGGATTTTTTTAGCCTTATGTCACTTAAATTTATTTTGCTTTTAAAGTAAAATATCACTAATTTTGAATAACGAAATATTTGTGCTCCTACAAATCTGAAAAACTAAAGCTTTAACGTGTACGTTTTTGTAATCTAAGCTCCTTGTTAGCAAATGGAGCTACTTAGGCTTATTTATGAAGAAATGACTGGTTAAGCAGTGTGTTTGCAGTGCAGTAGTCAGGACCCTCTTCTCTGGTTTGACACAGACATGGCAGCATTCTGAGCAGAGAGTCTCCAGCTGACAAGAAGCAGAAGGTTGAACGCTGCAGTAGTACACACGACTTTGATCCTACAGGTAAAGTCTTAAAACTGCACAGATGGGAATTTGGACTTCAGTTTGACTGCAGTGAAAAGGGTTCTGATGTGTTAATGAGTGTGGTTTTCAAGAGTTGTGTTGTGCTCTGTGATTGCAAAGCCTTTTTGAATCATCCAGGCATTGAAATGAGTATGGGCTTTCTTTTAAACATGCTTATCTACAAAGTGGCTGTGAACTGTGCAAAAACAAATCTATATTAGTGCTACCAGTGAATAGTTGTAACGACTTCCTATTTCATAAAAGATGCTCTGAAATTTCAGTTGGCAAGTTTTGCAGTTAGTTGGTTCTTTTGGATGATTTAGCAGGGAAGAAGTGTGAGAGAGAGTGTTCTTAGTGTCAACTGGGACTGGTATTCTTTTAGGGTGGAGGGGCTGAGCTTCCATAGATTTGAATCCTCCTTCTCATCTCTAAAGTTCATCTGTACTTTCCAACATGATATATTTTAAAACAAGTTTATATTTTAAAGGATATGAGAAAAAATATATGTATATATATAAAACCTTCTGTGAAATCTGGATCAACTTGGTCAGCCTGTGGACTGCTGTGCTGGAAATGAGCATGCATGCAGGGATTTTTCCTTCTCTCTCTGAAACACTAACTCAGTGACTACTGTGTAGGCTCATGAAATGCATGACAGGCTCTTGTCTGAGCCTCCTGGCCCCATGCAATGTGTGTTTTTCATGTCTGTGCATTCTACTGTTTAGTCCAGTCTTTCCCCTGGGGCTTATGGAGGAGATGGGAGTTGAATCTAGAGGTTGTAAAACTTGTAGAATGTGTTTGTGCACAAAGTAGTTCAAGCTTGCGTTTATAAGCCATCCTGTTTGTGAATTTTTCCTGCCACTAGCTGCATGACTCCTTCCTACTGTGCACAAAATAATTAATATGGACTTTCAAAGTCTATTTATGAAAACAACAAAAAAAAGTCCTATGGGAGAGGAATCTAAATTAGTTGTTGTCTTTTCCTTTATCCTTGAGAAAAGGTAATGTAGAATTCTTTAAGGTTAGTTTAGGTGGGAGAAGGTCTTGCCTTGCAAAGAGAATTTGGCTTTTACTTTTTGAGAAGCAAATTTAGGAGTCCTCCAATATTAATTTGATAAAAGTAATTCTATTTTGAGAGTGGTCACCTGCCGTGATGCTTGCTGTCAAGTCTGGTGGATGACCTCTTCGCTGTAGCCCTTCATCAATTTCTTTTCTTTTTAAGGGGCAAATTCAGAATGCTGAACTACTATGCGTATGTCTGCTATGTACTCTGGAGATAAATGTCATGGAGCTTATGTTTTTTCCAGAGTCTTCTCTTCTCTGTAGTTCACTGTTGGCATAGCAGAGAACTTGGTTTATTTTGTTTTAGATTCTGTAGCAGATACTTTGTGGTGTCACCTGTGTCTTCGTGCTTGAATTATTCACTCCTTATTCCAAGTGTTTCACCTATGTTTTGTTCACATCTTATTTGTGTTTTGCACGATTTAACCTAATAAATCAGTCTGTTTTTCATGAATTTTTTTTTTCTCATGTTTGGTCTCCATATTTTCTATATCTCTCTCTCCTTTTCTCCTGCTCTCGTGCAGATAGCTCCTCCAAGAAGACAAAGTCTAGTTCGGAGGAGAGTAGATCCGAGACRTATGGTAAGCTAAAGCAGCTGCTGCAGCCCTGCACCTTTGCAGTCTGCTCGATGCTTTCTGTCTGTGCGCCCAAGGCTTTTACCCTTTACCTGATCCGCATGGTTGGCTCTGCAGCAGGGAGCGGGAAGCCGGGTTTCAATGTTGCTTCACTTGTATCGGCTTGTAGTTCTTGTAGTGCCTGGAAACTAACTCGTATGTGGCAAGCGCAGGCTGTCGTCTGTAGTTGGAGGGAACTTGCTGGGACTGCTCTTCTCGCTCGTCTGCCACCAAGTATTCTTGGCTGTGTACRAAGGCACAACTCATACTGGACTCCAGAAGAGTTCTTGTGTCTGCATCTGGCTTGAACTGTGGAGRTTAATCTGGAGGAGCTACCAATTCATCTCTCTTCATTACTTGTAGAGAATCTTACTTCAGGTGGCTTGAGKGTTTCATGGAACTGAAAAACCCTATGTCTAGATAACTTCAAAAAATGGAAGCATGTGAACTTCACTGCCCTTTTTTCAGAAAAGGAAGTAGATGCCCTGGCACTCCTCTCTTGCTAGGTATTACTGCGTTACGAGCCTGTAGAATGGAACAATTTGGCATGTTACAATTTGGGATGATTTTGAGTCACCTGCATATCCGCTGCTTACCACAGTGCCCTGTGACATGTGCTGCAGGAAGGAACGTCTACCAAAGACAGCCTGCCATCTCACCTGCCCTTCTCTAGCTCACATCAGATGTGTCTTTGCTGTGACACTCTCACCATCCCACCGTTATGTCACAAGCTTGCTTAATTTGTCATCTTGGAAGAGGTTGGCACACATATACTAGTTAGGAGGTAGTAAGTTTTCACAGGTTGATAAGAGGCCCTGTGCCTCCTGCCAGCTTTTAATACCCTTGGATGCAGGCTAAATCTGGGCAGTACTGCTGCATTTCGCTCCATTTCACATTTCTAAACATATATGCTCAGGTGTGTTTTGGCAGTGGTTGGCAGGATGGCTTTCTTTGCTATTCTTTCCTGATATGTAAAATAGTCTGTGATAGTCTCTGATTTTCTCCGTGGAGAATTTTCTTGCTGCATATTTTCCCACTGTCTTTTGGACAGAGTGATAAAAATCGTTGTCTCTTCCTATATCAACTTCAGTATTCCCCAAGAATAAAATATATAGGTGTTTATGGCTGTGATCCAACCACTTCTGTGTAGTATAAAAGCACTCTGCCATAGCTCTTCTCATAAGGAACATTAAAAAGCAAAACCCTTCAAACTTGCACCCATCTGTAAGTTAGCAAAAGATTTTTAGTTGATGCAATTGAGAGGCAAACTCTGTTTCTTCTGTGGAGGTGAAATTCCGATTCCCAAATATTTATTTTAATAAAAAATAAAGCAAGACAGTCATGTTCCTAAGGTGCAAGACACTCTTCCTCAGAGACTCTAAGCGGGTTTTGGGTGTGTGTTGATTTGCTTCAGCTGCTGTAGCTTGTATGTCTTTCTCCCATGCTGAGAAAGTCTACGTGAGGAAAAGACCTGCTTGAAAAGGATCTATTTTGGGGTGGAGCTTCAGCCACACTTATGTTGTGACCGGTTCTTCTCCTCGCTAGGTGAATGGTGGTTTGGGACAGTGCAGCCAGATTGACTAGATCGCTGCGCTTTGAACCTTTGTTAATTTTTGTCTAACGTTGCTTACCCCTAATGTACTGGAGGTGCTGTCAGGCTGCTGCAGGTTAATTACAGGAAACATTTGGCATGCTTGCTGGAATGTGTCTGTGTTTATGCCTCTCCCTCAGTGTGCACTGTCCTGGCTTTCCACGTACGGAGGGAAGAAACATGACTTCCAAACTTAAGCTTTTACCTCCCCCAAAGTTTCCTGCAGACRCTCTATCCGTGTCCAGGATCAATGGGAACAGTTTCCACTATTCCTTTCTTTCCAGTGACCTTTTCTACCTTGGACCTTACTCTGCCTTTTGTCTTTTCCCTTTGTTTTTCCCAAGTTCTATGGTATGCATACAGAAGTCAAATGTTTGCACTAGATGGAGCCTAACCATTTAAAAATGTGCAACTACTGTACAGACACTTTTCTTGCTGGTGGCTGATGTTAASTGGTTCTTTCTTTGGCTTGCCAAGGGATAATAGTGAATGATAGAAAATTCTTGAATGACATCAAGAAAATGAGGTAGCGTTTTATGTACGTGTATGTTCTTACCTCTGGAAATTCCTAATTAAGACCAGAATATCGTGAAGTACTTGCATGACTTGGAAGAGGGTCAGTAGGTAGAAAAATCATTGTGATTTGTTTTATTGTGATACTGAATGTGATAGAAATTTTCTTTCATAAATCATGTATTTTCATTTAGCAAAGTCTAGATGTTCAGAAGAAAGGTTGAATGTAATTTTAGACTGCTGTAGTTTACTAAACGAGTCCATAACCTTCCACAATACTGCTTTTTTTTTTTTTTTTTTTTTTTTTTTTTTTTTTTATTCAAGTAGAATTCATGCATTGAAACAAATTTAAAGCTCAAATGAGCTTTGGAGTTGATACGTGAGCTTCCAGTTACCCTTTTGCATCCCCTATGACTTAGTTGCTCTCCAAAGCCACCTTTCTGTTTTTAGCCCTGCGACCTGTTTCAGGCCCTCAAATTTTTAAGCTAGACTTGATGCATACTCTGTCCATTTTGGGACAGACTTTTTCTTTTTTTTTTTTGTGCTGAAAGTCTGAATTTTGTCCCTGTTCGCTTGCTTTACAATTGAATGCTGGAGAATCTTTCTTTACTCTTCCTGTTTTGTTTCTTGCAGTTCTTCCCAGCCTTGTGTCTTTGTGTTGTGGCCACCATCTTTGCAGTCTTTTAAAAGGGCTCTTGGGACCCCCTCATCACTACTCTTATAATAGCCAGAAACAGCTTGGAGTGCAAGGGGCACTCGACCACAGGGATTGAATGTGTCGTTTCCATGGGAGCAGATAGTCCTATTTATAATGGTTAAAATACATTGTTCTTTGTTTCCAGAAAGATTACCAAGCCTTACATTCTGAGTGGTTTTCAGTRCCATTGTTATTAACAGTTTTATCAAAACATTATGTAGTGCGCTAATTTCAGATAGCGTCCGTTTTCCTTTGAGTTTACATGACTTCAGTTACCGGGTTAGTGGAGGAATCTGAAGAATGCTGCTAATATGGCATTTGGTATGAAGACTGTGTTAATAACTAGAATTAAGTGAAATTCAGAATTTCCTCCTATGAGAAGCTTTCAATATGAAAGCTGATAGCTTCGTTTTATTTATATTGTGGAGGAAGGATTCTGAAATGTTTTATAGAAACTTTAAAGCTTCCCAACTGAAGTGAAGTATTTGGACATTCTAAAAACCCCAAAGAGTRTGTTTTTGTTTATTGAATGATTCACTTCAGATCACTTCCATATTAAATTGCATTTTCCCATTGTGGCCTAGTGCCTCCAGGGAGGTTATAGTTCAGAAGTCTCCTCCCATGCAGTGTCCCACAGAGTGTGATCAGTGCAAAAGCTACGTTATTATTATGGAAGACGTAGTTGATGCCTACAGTCTCTCCTGTGAGTCAGGTTTTCAGCATGAACTCCTGCACTGCTTGGTGTGCACTGCTAAGGAAATAAAACCTTGTGTTTCATTGAAGAGCTTCAAAATATTTAAGATCCGTAGAAGAACAGAGAAAATGCTGTACTCGAGAAACTTTTGGATAATCAAAATATGTTTGTCAAAGCTGGTCAAGATCATCGTTTTTGCCTTGGAATCTGGGTGACCTTGGGGGGTTAGGACTTTACCCTTTCCTCCTGACCAAAAGGCACACTGCAGCAGGGGTGGAGGACACGGCCACCATGTCTCAGAGGGAATAGTGCCACCTATTGAAGAGCTGATTGTCGTAGCTGTTCTTCTAATTCCTTTTTTTTTTTTTTTTTTTTTCTTTCTTTCCGAACTGCTTATATTTCTTACTGCTTTCCTTTCCAATTCAAACTAGCTCAACTAGAGCGCACAGTTATTTGTCTGGCTGTGCTCTTGGCTTGAGGCAATACCAATGAGTTTGGGGAATTCTAATATGTGTGAAGATAAAGGGGATTTTTGAGTGTTTCTCCCCTGCCCCCTGAATCTTAAGTATTCACTTGAAATATGAATATGTAGAGTGATTTGGCATACCTAAAACATARCTGCAGTGTTGTCTRTTAATTTCCTGCCACTGGAATGTTYTAACATGAAAATAAATGTGAAATAAGATCAGTATTGATATGATGTTCAGTATTGTCAATACTGAGTTCAATAGACCTTATAATCTTTACTAAACTTCAGCTGCAAAAATGGAATGTTATGGTAAGGTCTTTTGAAATTAGTGGCTTGTGATTTCCCTGTAAGGAACGCTAAGAGTTGGAATGCAAAAGCCAGAAAAAGATGAATGAAAACCTGATTGCTGCTTACTAACTTGAGTCTGATGTCATTTTTGGTCTTTAAGCTTGCACAAAATTTATAGACTTAAGTACAGAGGGGGAAGTTGCTGCATTTCGCTCAGTCGCCTAATGCCAGGTTTCCCGTGTGTACTTGCAGTTTCGAGGCATGACGGCGAGGGCTCTTGCAAACTGAGACTTTACATCAGTGCTGGGCTCTCRCTGGCTGAAGCTTTCATTTAAGGCCATTTCAGAGCCTAATGAGCGGTTCAAGGTACAAGGCAGAGGTTATGGAAATGCTCCTGCTTTTGTTCTTTAAATTCAGATGCTAGACAGATTTCATATGGGATGTGCGTTGCCTGAAGATCAGAAGTGAGCATATTACGAGTTTAGGGGAGTCCTGTGCTGCTTCTTCCTCACGGTGGAGTCAAACAGTACACAGTAGTATGTGCTCCGTTTAGTCTGCCTGCTGCTGATGGAAAGCATTATGGAAGCTGATCTGGTTCCATAGGGAATAGTGTTACCTGAAGAAATGTTCCAAAAACTCCACTAAAATGGCTGCAAAGCAGCTCTGCATCTCCACCTCTCAGCTGGCTACCTGGACCCTATTCCAGCCTTCTGCATTGTGTTAGGGAAAGAGTTAAGTGACGCCTTCTTTTGTGAAGTGATCAAGTGCAGGCCAAAGGCAAGGACTGACTGATTTGGGTTCACCTAGTCCTAACTTCAGTTGTCTCTCTGTTGGTTAGTTTGTTCATCCTATAAAATTAAAAGGTGCTCTTGAATCAAATTGAGACTGGTGGTGGGAAAACTGTGTTGTTATTCTGGCAACTTAAATGATACTTCCTAAGTGCAGCTTGTATTGCATGTCCTCTTACTTTACCTGTGCTGTGGCATCATGTTCATTCAAGGAGGACACTTACTCGAGCACTAGATCCAAGGGTTATTGGTTATGGAAAAGGGAGAAATTCAAGGGAAGTGAATAGGCAGGMCTATGCTGTGCCTTTAAACAAGGAAAGTTTTTATAAGTTGAAAGATTAGTTAGCGTCTTACTCATAAAACCTGTACGTCTGGCAGTGGAGTTTAAAACGAGCTGTTTTTATGAAATAGCATATGTACTCTTTCCCACACCCCACCCTGAGGCATCATTCTTGTGAAGTGAGCCTTAAAGAAGCTTGGTCATATAGAAAAAAAGGAGGTACAAGAGGGAGAGGGATGTTTCTTCACTTAAACATGTGAGGAGAGTGTTAAAGTTGGTCTTCTTCCCCCTGCCATCTACTCTCGCCTTCTATCAATTTATTGTCAATCCCTGTAGAATAATTGCTTCCACTTTGTCAGTGGAAGGGGCGTTACTGGGAGAAGGCACGATGCTCAGACTGCTGCTGAAGTGCTGGAATTCAGCCTTTTCCACCCCTCCTACGCCGTGCTGCATCTGCGCCCATGTGGCACTTGAGAGAACAGGGCTGACTGGGTAGACAGTGTTTTCACTTGCGGCTCCGCATTTCCATGAGGAGTCGCCTGGGAGAAGTGAAGGGAGCCGTATTGCTGCAGTAGTGGAAGACATGGGTGTACTTCACACTCGTACCTTAAAAATGGTTCCAGGAGAGACAGTCTTGCTAGAGCGACATCTTCGCAATTCCCTTTGCTCCCTCCATATTAAATGATGCTGCTACAATTTTGGTATCTGATCTTGAAAGAAAAATGTTCTTTCCCGCGATCTGAGTGTACGAATTCTGCCTGATGTGGCTTTGGAAATGAAGAAGCAAAGCAAGTTGTTAAAAATAAGGGAACTCTTTAGTAGCTAGTGGGTTCTGCTCTGCAAATAAGAGAATATCCTAGAAGTATTTTGCAGAGGGACTTCTCAAGATAAGGGCTCCATTGTGGTAGGCCTTCTGCAGACACTCCCAGCAAAGTGCTCCCTTCTGCAAAGAATATGCTGGGGCTTCTAGGTTGTTTGTTGTGTTTTTTTTTCTTAGTCCATTTTCAGGTGAACACTAGACATATGCAGCAAGCCATTCTTTCAAAGTGGTGTGTCTGGTAAATGCATTTGTCTGCAACGGTATTTATATTCCCACTATTCTGAGTACTCCCAACACTGTCAAACAAAATGATTTGCTTCCTGATGTCCCATCAGGTTAAAGGAGGAGCAGATCAGCACTTGGAGCACCTGGGCTTTGGCCTCGTACTTTGAGAGCTTGCTGGGAAGCATGATACCGATTTCTGATGGCTAATTAAGTGAACTGAAAGTGGCTTATCCTCTTTACTGTTACTCTGCTGGGATATTGTCATCTGGAATGGAAAGTCCTGAGATTATGGTTTTGCTGAGAATCGGGAAAACTCTTCCTGATTTGATAAACCTGTTTTAATCATATCGTTTAATGCTACTTTGAGATGCTTGTGACTCTTGATAAGTAGCCTGTAAAATGTGTTTGATGGTTTTGATAGTGCGTTAGAACATGACAGTCATATGTCATGCTCTGAAGAGTTATTAATCTGGACAGAGGGAAATTGGTTCATGTACACAGCTGTTCTTCTTAAAAAGTTGCATTTACCTTAAGTTGTGTCTGATGTGCCAGAGCTGTCCGCATCTCTGCTGTTGTTTATCCCTGTTTTATGTAACTGAAGCAATAAGTTGACCTGTCCTGACATTCCTATCTCTTTCTGGACTGATGCTGTGTTGCTGTCTTTCATGTATTTTTCTCCTCTGTTGTTTTGTACCAGTTTCTTTCAGTGCTCTGTGATGATCTCAGAGGATAAGGTTTTGGACTGATGCCTAGCTTGTGTCTCTCTGTATTTTCTCTCCCCTTCTTTCTTYTGCCCTTTTCCCACCTTTTTATGCAGGTCTTGTTCAACGGTGTGTCGTTATCCAGCGGGATGAAAATGGATTTGGGCTGACAGTGAGTGGAGACAATCCAGTCTTCGTGCAGTCAGTCAAAGAAGGTAAGCAGGCATGCTAAATGCCCTAGCCAGAGAGCAGCCTARAGCATTCTCATGTGAATCTAAGAAACGCCTGCGTGAGCTGGAGAAGACGACTGCAGATTCTTTCCTCGAGAGTGGGGTGCCTGTAGCTATCGCAAACATGGGAATAGGTGTTGCAGACATCCTTGCACTCTTGGAAAAGAGCGAATCCCCTCTCTTGCCTCTTACGTGTTTGGAAACTGAGAGCTTGCACTTAAGGGGAAGTAAAATGAGCACATGTAACCTTGTGGGATTGTGGCTTGATGTATCTGCTGCAAAATGAGAACAGAATTGCCGCAGCCTAGATGCTCGCTAGATATTAATCTGATGGAGGAAGGGGAAGCTTGAGTGAATATGGGAAGTAATTTTGCATGGAACTGCAGAAGTGCTCAAACCATTTTTCTATTGAGTGACTCTGTTAAAAGGGCACCTTAATGATTTCTTTCCCCCTAGATGGAGCAGCCATGCGGGCTGGAGTGCAGACCGGTGATAGAATTATCAAGGTAAGGGCATTCAAAACAGCCATAAAATGGACTCTTTGTTTTAAAAGAATTCTTTCTTTGAAAGAATGTAATTGATGTGTCTGCAGTGGCGGTTACATTATTCCATGGGATAGCAGGTGGTCTAATTTTTCCTGTTTTGGGGATGTGCAGTAGCCATTGGAAGCTCACTGCTGAGTGTTAGTTTTGTTGTGGTGAACCTGACCATTTTAGAACTTCARTGGTGAGTTTAGTACTCTATGAGGTTAAAATATTTCAGCAAAAAATGCTTTTTTTTTTTTCCACCCCTCACAGGTGAACGGCACTCTAGTAACACACTCAAACCATTTGGAAGTGGTAAAGCTGATCAAGTGTGAGTAAAGGCAGATTACTATTTCTTTTTGTCACTGTGTTCCTTTAAAGCATGAAAGAGGTATTTTTAAAAGACCAATGACTGATTAAGCTATCAAGGGGAAAAGGCTAAGTACATAAGTTGTTGACTGCTATAGACTGATCTGACAGATGCTGGGTGTGTATGAGACAGATGCAGTAATATTAAATTTGGGGTAATTCATGCATGTATATGGTCAGTCGTTTAACTTTGGCTAGAAATTGCACTGTGTGCTTTCTTTAAGGATGATKATGAAAGACATTGGATTACTTAAAATTTAAAAGGAGGTATCTGGAGTGGAGTTGACAGTGCTCCCAGGTCCTCTGGTATAAGAAATAGAGATGAAGAGCTGTCTGAATCTTGTCTTTTGGAGAGAGTAAACGTTAACTGTGGAAATCTGCAAGTGTCTGAAGTGTGGATTGTTCTTGTTCTCCTTGCAGCGGGTTCCTATGTAGCTCTCACTGTTCAGGGGCGCCCACCAGGGTCGCCCCAAATTCCATTAGCTGATTCTGAAGTGGATGTGGCAGCATTTGGGCATATGTCTCCAATCATGACATCTCCTCATTCGCCTGGCACATCAGGAAATGCAGAAAGGATTACTAGCCCAGTACTCGTAGGGGTAAGATTTAAAGTGTTCTTTCCAAAGAACCAGTTTAGCAGTGGAAAAAATGTAGTCATGTATTTTCCCTCAAAGGAATTGTTTTGTTCTTCTTGCACAAATCAAAAGTTGGAATTGGAAATTTTGTTCTGCCACCCAGTGGGCATTTAGCCACTTGGAGAAAAAAACATCTTGCAAGTAAATATCCTGCTCCATCTGATATAATGTAGAGGCAGCTGAAGGTTGTTCACAGGTTTTCCTTGAGATACACTGCTGCAGTTTGCATCAGCTGATCTTTCGTCATGTCTGGTCCAGGCCAGTYGTTCTCTAACTTCTGCTGGCAGTTGGACTGTAAAGCACACAGACACATGGCAAAGAAGAGAGAAGAAAGTAAAATAAGCAAATGCTTTTCATCAGTTTGGGGGGAGAAAGAGGAGGTTGTTCGTTTTGCTTTAGTGATAATAGCTATGATAACTGTCTTCAAAAGTAGGAATGAGTGGTTGTATCCTGTATGAGATAAGGCATGAGAAACTTGAATCACTTCTTGTAGGGCTTTTCAGTGACTATGTTGAGGATATAGGCGAGAAGTGGGCATGTATATTTCTTCTGTCTTCCTTCCCTGTTTCTGGATCCACCAAAAAAAGCAATGACTCTTTAATTTTTCCTTATTTCCTAGGAGGAGAATAATGTTGTCCACAACCAGAAAGTGGAGATTCTGAGAAAGATGCTGCAGAAAGAGCAGGAACGGCTGCAGGTACTGAAGTTGCTTGTGTTCAGCAGGGGTGGAGCAAAGAGAAGATGTTGTTAATGTGAAGATGGGCTGTTGAATCACTAGTTACTAGAATCCTCATTTCTTTGCGTAGCTTATGTTTCCGCTTAGCTTTRATATGCACTGAACTAACACCAGAGGTGTCCAATTGTCTTACCGATCGTCTCTTGAGGCTTTCAGTTCCTGACAGGGTAGGAAAGAAGTGTAGAAGATTTCCTAAATGTATACATGCCTCATTTTGGTCTAATGCTAGGCACGTAAGCATGTTTCTGTCTCACCGAGAGTCAGTTTTCACTAGGAGCTACAATCTACCTGGCGATTCTGGGTGACACTGCGTTTTTGTGCCTTCAAGTGTATGCTCAACATGGTTGTGATTTAACTTGAATAAACCTTGAGAATGTACGTATTGGCATATTGCACAGGAAAGGGAGAAAGGCTGTATAAAACAGACATTCTGTAGTGCCTGCTTGATAAAACAAGAGGTGTGTAAACGTGCTGTTTACTAGATGTGTTGGTGAAGGTTAGTAATAGATTGTAGATATAAGTTTTGATAGTGAGGAAATATTTAATTGAATGTAAACTCATAAAATTATCTTTCAGTGTCTGCAAGAAGAGTGTAGCCGCTCACCCACCTCACGGCTGCTCAAAGAGATACAGGAAACCAAGAAGCACATTCCTCAGCTGCAAGAGCGGTTGTGCAAAGCCACAGGCGGTACTCAGGTAACAGAATGTGTTGGGCTTCTCGGCAGTATGTTCCAGGTGAAAATTCTTAGGGAATGATGGTATTTTGGGCAAGCAGGAATTCCCTACCAAGCCCTTCCGTGTTTCCACAGGCAGATTGCACCCTCTAGAGTTGTGACTTGTCATTAGGCTTGTGGAAGCTGTTACACAATAGAGTGCAACGTCAGTATTTTAAGCTGAGGTTACAGTGGATTTCTGAATGCTCCTTGAGAAACTGATTTTAAAGCAATGTATGCAAGTTTTGATGTGTTCGTTAGCCTATTTGTCAATGCAGCTTAAAAGAAACCTGTGAAGTCATTCTTACTGTGAGGCATGTATAAATAGAAGCTTGAAACACCTTTTTTTAATACAGAAATGAAATAATTTTGCCCGTTTTCCTTGTGTGTTTGAGGTTGAGCCCTGAAAACTTTCTTTTGCCTTCACTTTGAAAAACATAGGAACCTCTTCTGAATAAATGAAGACAATTTCACAAGGAGCAGTTTTATAAAGAGCTAATGTCTGTAGAAATATGCAACTTGCTCTGTGCTGTCTCCCAATTCGTTTTATCTTTTCAGGATGGAGTCTTGTCCTCTAAATCTGTGACAGAAGCTCTGCAAATCAGTGAAGTAGAGGCAGAAAGTGGGGATGTTCTGAGCAAACTGGATTACAGTGCTGATAGCTCCCGACCAAACAGTGACATTACTGATGTGAGTATTGAACATCTTCACATGTTGCTTCTATACTTTTTTTTTTCTTGTATGGCTTTTTTGAGTTTGTACTGTCCTGAATATTATTCAGATATGCTGTGTCTCAGTAGTGTTGTGTATTACTAGCCTCAGTTTCTAAGTACACACCAGCACTGAGCAAGCATGCTATATTGGTCTTCGATTAGGTACTAGGAAAAAAATACTGTGGGTTTGGGCTTTTTTTCCAAGATGTTTTCTTTCCTGGCATACTCCCTGTTATGAGGCAAAGAAAGATGAATGCCAAAATCTTTCTCAGAGCTGAGAGATGCAAATTAAAATGTCTTTTAAGGGCATGTTAATATTCCATTTGTGGTAGTTGTGACTCAGACCTAGGCAGTGGGCAATTTGCCATAAAAGTGAGGAAGAGCATTACTTCTATCAAATGAATTTCAGTTATTGCCAACAGTGTAAGTGCTCAGTCTGCTTGCTCATCAGTTATCAATCTGTGTCCTCAGGTAGTCTTCATATTGGAGTGCCTTATCCTTAATTAAGATACTAGCTGATTAACATGAAGGCATTGAGACTCTCTCACAACAAGAGTAGTACATGAACTATGAGAAGACATAGAGGGAAGTGGGAAAAGATGGGAATGAGGTACAAGAGCAGTTTTTGCGACACTGCAGTTATTTGATCTTAGAAACTTTATTTTTGAAACTGCTTCTGTGCATGCTAGAGCTGTAATATTTGGGCTTCCCTTTTGGAATCTGTGCCTGTGAGTAACACAGTTTAGAGTTCAGCTGTTCATGTCTCAGCTGTTCAACAGTTCACTGTGTGAGGAAAGAGAAGTTTTGTCTGCTATGGCTGAAGCATATAACCATACAGTTCTTACTTTTGTGGATTCGCTGGTACTTAGCAGAACTGAACTTCTTTCTCAGAGTCCTCGGAGTGGCCTGAAGGATCGAATTTATCTGGATGAGAGCCCAGAGAAGACTGAGATTCAAGATGCTGTAAGTCCAAAACATAAAGCATGCTAACAGCTTCTCCTGTAATGGGTCCATTAAAATCTTGCTCTTTTTTCCTCTACTTTCTAGATGAAGCATGCATAAACTTTGCTTTAGATAATAAAATGCAATTAAATTTGTGCAAGGAACGTTAATTAGCTGAATAAATGTTTATGGCACTTAAGAACAGCCGCATTTAAAAGATGAGAAATATATAATCAGCAGTAAAGCAACTGGAGCTAAAATAGCTAGGGCTATTGTACAAAGTTTATTCCTTGAATCCAACACAAAAAGGAAAACAGTCTTTACTTTAGGATATTCAGTCATTATGAAACCAGCATTATTATCAAGGATGGCCTTGAGATGGGATTCATATATATGTATAGAATATATATACTATACATTCATGTATGGTACAGCAGCAAGCATGTGACTGCTGAGCAGTATTTGTGGATCGTGAAATTGCATTTGAATCTGCTAGTTTGACTCCTCTGAATCCTTGCAACTTGGGAGAAGCATCATAAACAGGATCTCATAACCAAAAATTTGAATGAGGTGGAATAAAGGCACTTGAGTGTCAATTGAGCTTCTAGAGAAGGAAAATTAATATCCTTGGTTAGAGAAGGTTTACTGTTCCATGAGAGTAATAGCATTGTACTATTTTTCCCTTCTCTTCCCATCCCACCTTGCACCAGGATTCTCAGTCAAGTGTTGGAAGTCCTTCTTCCCGTATGGGACCACAGATTATTGGAGCAGAAGATGAYGACTTTGACACTGAACAGGAACAGGTGAGAATTATGTTTTCTGTAGTTAAAAACCACCTTTTAACCTCAGTTGCTCTTTACCTTCTTTTACAAAAGTTATTTTCTTCTATGCCTAAACTTTAAGGATTGCATGATTTATTTTTATTGAATAGTTTTGATATGTTGAATTAATAATTATGGAATGTGATTCCTTGTTCCTGTGGATGCTGCCAAATTGTAATACTTGGGSAGTTTTTATTAATATGCAGTCTTTGATATTTTGCTTCTCTTTCTTCTTGTAACCTTAAGCTTCCAGAAATTCRTTTGCCTTATTTAATTTCTTTTTGCTCATTTCTCTTCTATTGGCAGATCTCCCTTAATGTTACAGCAGTACTGTTGCCATAGCTTTTAGTATATTTATTCTGAAATATTTGAACTATATTTCATTATATTATATTCAGTGTGCAGAAGAGTATTTAAATAGGTTTCCCTGTGTAGATTTCTTCTCGGGATGCTTCAAAAGCATCTCACAGGTTCTGGAGTTGATCTGTTCTTATTTTAAATAATTGAGTAGGCAGGCCATCGGAACATTTTTTTTTTCTTCACAGTAGCTTTCTTGAATAATTGAAGTAGTTTCCATGTATCTCTGCAGATTAATGGACAATGCAGCTGTTTCCAAAACATTGAGCTCCTGAAATCTCGTCCAGCTCACCTGGCTGTTCTTCTGCATCATGTGGTGTCCCAGTTTGACCCTGCAGCATTAGTAAGATATTCTGGAATTGTTTCCGCCAAGCCAAATCTGTCATATTAATCTTGTTCTTTGAGGGTCTCCTTGTTCTTCTGTGGCATTATCAGTTTCATGGCTGGATAAGCAAGGGGAGAAATGCAGACCTCGGGCAGGCATGAGGGTAGTTAAGATAAATGTAGAGAAGCATGAATAGAACTGTTTTTCTTAAATTCAGGTATTGGAAAACAGGTGTTTAGCTCCTGAAAAGTTTTATTCCATGTTAGAGAAGTAGGCTAAGTTGTCTACAAGGAAAAATCTGACGCATCTTTTCCTTTATTGGGTGCAAGGGTAGCCTAGCTGAGTAATCAAGGTTTTCTATGCAGTCTGCATAGCTGAAGGAAGTCTTTCAATCCAGTGTTGGCCTGAAAGTGTGCTCACATTGTGAGCGCATTGTGTGTTCACATTGAAAAATGTGAGAGAAAACTCAGAGGAGTTGCTAGTAGAGTAATCATGATACTTATTTTTTCCCTTCCTGTTTCCCACAGTTATGCTACCTTTACACAGACTTGTACAAGCAGACCAACTCCAAAGAGACTCGACGTGTCTTCCTTGAGTTTTACCAGTTCTTCTTGGACCGAGCTGCAGTAGGTTCCAATCATTTCCTCCTGTTGAAGCATATCTAGCAAGATGACATGAGAAAGCAAGTTCCTTCTCTTTCTCAAACTGGGGAAAAAAAAGGAATGATCTAGGTCCTCCAGAATCAAAAGCTTTTGTTAAAAATATTTCCAGTGAGTAGGAGAAAATGAATAACATAGAGCCTCAGATGTTTGGAAACTCGATGATTCATTGGCGAAGCATTATTTGTTACAATAAATCATCTTACCTCTTGTCATGTGCAAGGTTAACTCTAGTTATTATACATTGTCTTCTCATTAGTAACTACTGTATATGTTGATGGGACTCTGAAAAAATTCCTTGCCATTGTAGATTAGACTGCGAAGTAGTGCAGCAGATGCTAATACCATATGCTTTGAAAGAATCCTTACATAGTTTAATATCTATTGAGAAGAGGAATCTCCTCCATGATACCTTGAAGGGTTTTTGTTGTATGATCTCATCTTTTCGGGGGGATTGTACTGTATCGTTTATGTTTAGTAGGGTAGTTTGTTGTGTATATTCTCTCAGTCTTCCTTTTCTTTTGCAGAATCTGAAAGTTCCAGTTCCAGATGAGATATCTGTAGATCTAGGTAAGACTTCTTGCCTAGGATATTTTGCTTTGTCAGCTTCTGCTGGCTGAGGCTGTTCAAGCAAGTTTCTGAAGCTCATGTAGAAATGCTTGTGACATACAGTGTCATGTGTCACAGGGAAAGATGAATAGATGCTTATGATACGGGATATGACGGAAGCTGCTTATGAGTATTGTACTTAAGTTCATATGATCAACAAAGTCAAGGCAGAAGGGTACTTTTGAGTGGGCTAAAGTGTGTGTGATGTTATCCTAAGGTAGAGTTCTTTTTTTTCTAAAGGATAATCTACCTACTTTTTCTCCTGAATTGCAGACAAAAGGAGACCAGAACTCATTCCCGAGGAGCTTCATCGTCACTACATACAAACTATGCAAGATAAAGTCTGTCCAGAAGTTCAAAAGAATCTTGAAGACTTCAGGTAACAGTTTTCTTTTGGTTGATGTTTATATGTGCCCTCAGTCAATGGGCACATTCCAACACCAGGAAAATCCAAACTCGAGGAATATAATAATTCATCTTGGACTGACTGAGAAAATAGCACTGGAGAGGGCCTCTGTGGTCACCCTGTGACCAGTTCTTGAATATTTTTGACACTGGGTTTGGCACTTGTTCTCATCATTATAGGTCAACATCCAATTTCAAATGATAATTCCCTCTCCCTAAATTCCAGGCAGAAGCGTAGCATGGGATTGACTCTGGCAGAGGGTGAACTCACCAAACTGGATGCAGAAAGAGTTCGTGACCGGAATGCAGTGGAGAAGGAAAGAGCATGCGCAGAACAGATCATTGCCAAAATTGAGGAAGTCTTGTGAGTACCAGCGAGTGTAATTGTGAGAGTGAGGGAGATTCCACTCAAAACCTAAGAGCAGAACAAAGGAATTAGGAACTAGAAAAAATGTGACGTGACTGTCTTTCCATTGCTTCCCCAATTTGCTACCAACATACAGCACAAGCATTTTAGTAATAGCCGAAAGTAAGTTAGTAGCACACTAAATAAATAGTAGCAATAATAAAGTCCATGTATCTTTTCAAGGAGGCTACTGTTGAACTGCTAGGAGCAGAGCACCTTTTGTGGCCAGATGCGTTACTAGGTCCAAATCCCATTCTTTTTCTTGAACATATGTTAATTTTATAGCTTCAGAAACATTTTTCTTTTAAGGCAAGCAAAGCCGATTTTTTCCAGCTGAAGCCTTTAGGATTTTTAATTCCAAAGGACACTTTGCACACAGCTTCTGACCCCCCCCTTTTTTTTTTCCTCCCTTTTTTTTAGGATGACATCTCAGCCCTTGGAAGAAGAGAAGAGGTAATGCAAATTTTGTGGGCTTAGCTTGTGAAGTAAGAACTCCATTACTGACACTTTTATAGGATCTCTTCTGCTGAACAGAACAAGACAGCCCTCTTCTGGCTGTATTTGCAAACTCTCATTTTCTAAATCTGCTGCCATAATGAGATTGAGTTTCGAGCATTTTTTCTGAGCTGCTGCTTAGCCCAAAGTTTGTTGCTTTTGTTTCAGTTCTGAAAAAGAGTTAGGCTGCTGAAAGTTCATGTGGCTTTTTGGTGTTATTTTCCATCTGTTTCAGCCTGGTCTGACATTTATTCTTCATAGAAACACCATGCTTTGCTTAGTTTGTTTGGCAGCATGCTTTGTCTGGATAATTTTTGCTATACTCTACAGTAACCATAGCTTTTACTGTTGATGTTTTTTTTTTTCTTACTGTAACTCTAAGCTATTATACAACTTCAAATATGTATTTAATTTCTCAGTTTTGTGTCTTCTGTGTAATTTTCCAAATTTGTGTTTTGCATCTTACCAGGTACACTTTTTATGTACTTGGTTTTTTTTGTTTACAAGAGAACAAATTCTGTTATTGGCTGAGTCCGTTTCATATAAAAAATAATTGATTACAATTTCTTTGAATCTAAAAATGGTTCTCTTTAGCTCTTCAGTGGAACCCTTGCATTTGACCTTTTTCATTACCTTGAGAAGTTACTTTCTCTTTATTATTTATTAATTTCTCTATTATTTATTAATTTCTCTTTTAATTTTTCATTTTGTATGTATTCTGCAGTTCGACAATGCAGTATGTGATTCTTACTTACATGAAACATCTGGGAGTCAAAGTGAAAGAGCCTCGGAATCTGGAGCAGAAGCGTGGCCGTATTGGTTTCTTGCCAAAGATAAAGGTAGAAGTGTCTTGTCCAGCATGTGTATGGTTTTTGTTTTGTTTTAAGGTGTCCAATGTGAGTGATTAGATTTCAAAACCCACTTTTAATACATTGGAAGTTGGTATTAGCTTCTGCATATTTTGGCAGAAGCCTAAATTACAAATGAATAGTAGCCTTTTTACTTCCTTTAATCATCTACCTAAATTCTAATTGTTTTTCRTAGTTACAGCCTTATAAAAACTTTGACTGAGATGTGATTCGTATAACACAACCTTGAATCACTTGTGGGCCTTGTATAGGCTAATTGGGCTTATGGCTTCTCTAGTTTTCTTCCCAAGTAATGTGACCAAAAAACTCATGACTTGATGCTCTTGGAGTTTTGGAGCTGCAAGATATTGACCCTTATAGAAGCAAAGTGGTACTGGTCACAGGCAATGGGTCTCTCATGCTAGGAAAGAAAGTGGTTTCTAGCTCTACATGAAGTGGAAATCAGACAGTTTGGTTTTTGTTCTTAGCTGATACGTCCCTTAAGATGCTCTGGCTCTGATGCTAATCCTGTTGTACACCATTTATAGTCTGCCCGTATGTTGCCTTTGTCTCTTTTCCTTGCAGTATGTTGACTCCTGAATTAGATGACTTGGTACAAAAGTCGTTGTTTCTGTTAAATTGCTGAATTTCGGAAGAATTGGTTATCTCATAACTTTTCRGAAGAGTTGGTTATCTCAGTAAATAAGTGAATCTAATGAAACAAGTTATCTGTTTGCTTATTTGTGTTGTTGTTGTGTATTAACTGCAGCAAAGTATCAAGAAAGAGAAAGAAGGAGAGGAAAAAGGGAAGAGAAGAGGCTTCCCAAATATTTTGGGACCACCAAGGAGACCAAGTCGACATGATAGTAGTGCAAGTATGTCAGACAATGAAATTTATGTTCCCCGACTGTCAATCTGAACAAGCCTAATTGTTTAGTTGTCCATGAGATCCCTTTTTGATTGCTGGAAACAGGTAAAAGCACTTCTGCTAGTCTAATAGCCCTRTCTTTGTTCAGTTGGCAGAGCGATGGAAATGCAGAAGCAACGTCATCCAAAGCACTTATCTTCAGCCTCTTCCATTAGCCCAGAGCCACCAGATTCTGGCAAGATGCGCCAGAGTGGCTCTTCCAGTGATGGACAAGAGGCAGTATATCTGCCAGCCAACCCAATGTCTCCTTTGGCAACAGGTCCCTTTTCCTCTCCAGAGGGGAGCAAGGACAGTGAAGCAGGTAGGAAGATATTAGTATAGAGGGATAAGCCCAAGAAACTTGTTTGTTGGTTTCAGGGCTTGGGCATCTACTGTTGTAAGCGCAGGCCTGTCACCTGGGAAAATTTCTCRTAGAATTTTTTCTTAGCAAGGCATAAGCTCAGTTCCTCTCTACATCGAAAAGAGGCTAYGAATCACAAATTCTGATTTTATGCAGTTCTTGGCAGTTTTTACTTCTCTTTTTAGGCTCGAAGCAGACTGCAGAAGCGCCACCTTCTAGCGATTGTGTGGATGGCACGCCCCGCACACCTAATAATACTTTTGAATTCCCATCTCCTTTGGAAAACTTGCAGGAGGAGGAGGGAGAATCTGAGAGGTAAATGTGGGTCCCTGGTTGCTTGAGAGTCTGAAGAGGGTGGATGTGAGAAAGACTGCTGCAGCTAAGTCTATATAACTACCAGTGACATGATTTGTATTAAACATCGTTAGCAGAAGTAGGAAATGTTGGTTTGTGTCCATGWTAAGTTTATGCTGATTTCTGCTATGATAGTACTAGAAAGCTGTCTGTAGATCAGGAAGCCAAGAATTGACAGATGGACAAAACATTTCAGTTAGAAGGTAAGACTTAAATCTGGAGTTTGGCTGGATGGCTGAGTTGGATAAAATGCTTGCATAAGTATTCTTATAATAACTCATTCCTTTCTTTGTAGAATGGTTGACATGGGAACACCAAAGACTTTTCGCAAGTGAGTATACTTATAAGTGCTTGAACTTCACTGAATTTTTTTAGATTTTAATCACGCTTGAAGTAGAATGCAGTGATGTTCACAGTTTTGATTTGCAGATTCAACTACAATTGCCTAGGTGATCTTTCCTCTTCTTAAATAACTTGTATATGAAGTGAGACACAGGAATCAGATATAGAGCAGGTGCAGCGAATCGTATGTAGATAAGCCTTTTGAACAATGAGGGAAATACGCTGCTTGTTGTATGCATTGATTAAATTGGATGGCTTGGGAAACTGAGATTCGCTGTTTTCTTTCCAAGTCTGCATGTTGCTAATAGCTCTGCATCTGCAAAGGGACACAGGGAAGAAATTGTAGCCTGGCCTTTCACTGACTTGATATTTGACCTTTAGCAAATTACTTTACAGTTCTATTAAAAGTGGAGTTATGAAAATACTATGTGAATAGGTGTTAATTCTTAGTTGTTCTGCAAAGGGCAAAATTATAAAATATGTGTAGCTTGCAACGTCTATCARCCTGCTGTGGGAGCATTTTCATAATGCTTTACAACTAATATGAATACTTAGAGATTCTCTTCTCTCTTTCTTATGTCTGTGCCGAAAAGGGAGGTATTTGAYGGATTTTTTCTTTTTTTTTTTGTCTTAGAATGGATAGTGTGGGTTTTGCAGATGTACAAAGTGAAGATGAGCTATATGATTTTGATATGGACATGGACCCTCCCAACTGGCAGCAGCTTGTGAGCCGAGAAGTGTTGATGGGACTGAAACCTTATGAAATCAAGCGCCAAGAAGTGATTAATGGTGAGATGGCTATTTTTCCTAGCTTATTAAACRCAAAGTTCAAGCTTTGTCCTTTGGAGCCCTGAAGTTCTTGAAATTTAAAACTATTGTCACAGCTATTTAAGGCAGTAGTTATAATCAGGTCTTCCCTTCTCTTTAGAATTGTTTTACACAGAGAGAGCTCATGTCCGCACACTGAAGGTTCTGCATAATGTCTTCTACCAACGTGTCACGAGGGAAGGGATCCTGAACTCCAGTGACAAACGGAAAATCTTTTCAAATCTGGAAGATATCCTTGGGCTTCATGGTAAGGACAGATGAGATGTCTTTCAGTTTTGCAGTCTAAACAGGATCTGCAGATACAGACATCTGGAAAAAAAAATTACGTAGGTGACCCTGAAAGAAGAGAGGCAACCTCACATAGTACTTCAGGTGGAAAGAACATGACAGATGGTCTTTTTGCATACACTGATTTACAAAGATACTTCATTTAAAAATGACTGTGTCAGTGTTTTGGATACTTGCTTTCACTTATCTGTGTACCCAGACTCCTTGTGCTGATCAATACTTTGATAAAAAGCATGCTTTGATGAATGATCTTCATAGAGCAGCATTCAAGAAGATACAACTTAGTTAAAGAGTATACGAAAAAGCCCTTAAACATGGATGTCTTGCACGTAGTGTTGAAGGGCCACCCTTTGTTTAGAGAAAGGATTATTCAGAAACAGAATTTCAGCTCTGCCACTGAGTCATCCACTGCATAATTTTAGGGAAGTGGATTGAAGTATGTTACACTATCATGTAACAGGTCATGATATTGAGTTTTTTGGTTTAAAAAAAAAAAAAAAAAGAAGCAAAGCCAGAATGATTCTTGGGGTGATCTGAAGACAGACAAGAAGTGCAAAGGGAATATATGACATTTTCTTAAATGTTCTGTTTCATATATTAGAAGCTATTTGCAAATACCTCTACTAGAAAAGTTTTTATTTTTAAGTAAGTGCTGAACTTAAAGCAAACAATTTAGACATATTAATATTTCTTATTTTTATTTTTAAGTTGCATTGAATGATCAAATGAAAGCTGTCCGAAAAAGGAATGAGACTTCTGTAATTGACCAGATTGGGGAGGACCTGCTTTCCTGGGTAAATTGCATTATGTTTTACTTTGTAATTCTTGTAAGAACATTTGCTCAAGTGATAAATAGAGCCAGAGATTCACCAAGATATAATTTCCAGATAATAGAAATTGCATATCTGAGAAACATCATTTCTATGATGGCATTGAGCTAGAGACAGAGCACTGAAGGAARGCAGGAAGAATTCAATATAGGATTTTCATTTCATAAAGGAATCATTTTAAAGAAAAAAGTGATTTCTTTATAATGTCCAAGTGGAGCAGAAAGGTGATTGTAGAGATATGAAGATGAGAGAAGGATTTTGAGTTAAGTAGTAGGACATTTTATTTCAATAGCACTAAGATTTAAGTCTTGTATTGCTTGTGCTGCTAAAAGATCCTTAAAAACACTGGATTCCAATCCTAAACTGTGTTAGAATTTGCATAGCTGAGCATCTTGAAATTTATAGCACTTAATATATATTTGTATACATATATGTATAAATGTGTGTGTGTGTATATATATGTGTGTGTGTGTGTGAATATATATATATTAATTGCAGGATTCCTTTCAAAATTTTGAAGTCCAAATGAGAGAAGCAGAAGTAAGGTAGATTCTTTCCTAAATCCATCAGTCTTAGGCGTCTCCCAAGTTCTATTTTTCGTTTGTTCCTAAAACTTGTCTACTGTTCTGGGGGAGAAAAAAAAAAAGAAAATAAAGATTATATGTAGCTGRCAGAACAGCATATCTCAAGCTCTTTAAGATTTTTCTCTGCATATTATGGAAAAAAAAACAAGAAGTAACCTGTGTGTTCATTTTTCTCTTTACAGCTTATTTTAACATAGGAAAATAGGCAAGCTGGAAATAGCTTGCCTATTTTCCTATGCTATATTTCCTATTAGCTTGCCTATTTTCCAGCTATATTTCCTATTGCTGGAAATATAAGGAAATAGTTGTATATCCCTGTATAATGTTCTGGCTAAGTGGCTAAAACCAAAAATGGGATTTCTCTCCAGACAGTGAATATTTTCAGGAGTTACTAGGCTATGTCACAGATTTGGTGCTAAGAACAGGAAGAGGCTTGCAGTTGCAGTAACACATTAGCCATCTGTCATCTGCTGCACATTTTCCAGTCCTTCATTTGGCTATCATTTTTCCTAGCCATGTTTCTGTAAGATTGTGATTTAGAAAACAGCAAGATGCTAATGCTGTCTTCTGATGTTTAGCCCTGCAAAACAACAAGACCTTTGGTAATGACTGTACTGACTTATAGTCTGGTGGATGCATCATCCTTGTCATTCATCTAAGAGCATTTTTATCTGCTCTCCTTATGGCTGAAAAGGAGTTCCTCAGTAGAATGGGAAGAGGAAAGTTTTAGAATATAAGTTGTTTTAAATGCTCTCTTTTATGTAAATTAGTTCTAATATTTTGCCAAATCTATTTATTTCTTCCCTTTTGAGACCAATGCTGCTCTGTGGCCGTATTTCTGTTCACATAGGTACATGCTGAAATTAACTGTGTCTAAATGTGACTTTCTTGGCTTTCTGACACAGTTTAGTGGATCAGCAGAGGAGAAGCTGAAAAATGCAACTGCTACTTTCTGCAGTAACCAGCCGTTTGCTTTAGAGGTCATCAAATCACGTCAGAAGAAGGACTCTCGCTTCCAGACTTTTGTGCAGGTGATGTTTGTGCAAGGGTATGAACTGCCTGAGGATGTGGCTTGTGGCCAGTGTAGGAAAATGAAGGGCTATAGATAACATGATCATAATTAATGAGATTATGTCTAATATTGCCTTCAGATTGGGATCACTTCCGCTGCTGTGTTTATCTCTGCTAGTCACTTCTGGTTGAGGAGCCTTTAATTCTGAGAAGCGCAGTATGTCCTGATAGAATGCAGGAAAGCAATTGCTGGCCCAGACAGGAGATCACATCTCGCTTGAGGTGGTTGCTTCCCAAGGGAACTGAGTATTTCTGTGGGGAAAACTGTTAACAGCACTGCATTTTTAATATATGCTATAGACAAAAGACAGATGTGGTACCCCTATTCCGCCTGTCAGGAGAGTAGATGAGTATGGGTGGCACATGGAGAGGAGAACATTGTGTTTGATACCGTAGGCTGGGGAGAACTCTGGTAATTCAACAGTTGAGATTATTTTGAAAAATGTACCATAGTTTTGCTATCACATGAGAGACTGAACTGATGTGTTGCCCGTGTGGCAGTGACTGAGATTGATTGGAGATGGTACAGGGCCTCTGTGAAGTAATGAAGGAAGGAAGACACTGCTTTTGTGATGAGCATTTCCTATAGCTAATTGCAAATGGAGAGGGGATGTGTTGTCTGAATGATAAATTTTGGCATTTCTTGTCTTGTATTTAATTACCGGAAAGTGAAGTAATAGACTTTTGTATGATAAATAGATGTTACACGCTCAGGTAATTATAGTCTTAATAAAAAYGACAAATGTAGTTATTGTTCTGTTTAATTTTAGGATGCTGAGAGTAATCCACTGTGTCGACGGTTGCAGTTGAAGGATATCATTCCCACTGAGATGCAGAGGTTGACTAAGTACCCCCTTCTGCTCGATAATATTGCCAAGTACACAGGTAAAGTATTTTCACTAGGCAGCCAGTGCATGTTTCTCTGCAAATGTGATTTCAAGCGTATGTTGAGGACAGTTCAATTTTGTGGGTCACTATCTGTTTTCATTGCAACTTAGCAGTGAGTCCCTTTCTCAGATTTAAGGTCAGCAAACTGCACTAGATTGCTGACTCTTTCACCTTTCGTTCGAGAATGTTTTTACAGTTTCTTGCTCTTTTGCAGAACTGCCTGAAGAGAAGGAGAAAGTGAAGAAAGCAGCAGATCACTGTCGTCAAGTCCTTAATCATGTGAATCAAGCTGTTAAAGAATCTGAGAATAAGCAGGTAGGAGGGGACTGGAGTGAGCATCAGGGGCTAGGAAGAATGTGATGAATGGAAACAGCGTTGAAGACACCTACAATCTCTATACTTCCAGCTTATATGCTTCTTGTGATTAAAGTTGCTTTGTGGCATCATTGTTTTATGAGAGCAGGAATCCAAGGCATTTGAACATGTGGAAGTACTCATGATGGCCTGAACTTGGGCTCTAGTGAGTTTTGCTCATCAGTAACCGACTTGATAAATTTTTTTCCAGCATTTGGAAGATTATCAGCGTCGTCTTGACTTGTCCTATTTGAAGCAATCTGAGGACCCCATGATGGATGAGTTCAGGGTGAGCTGACATCCTTGAAGCAATTGCTATGTGAATAGTATATGCAACCTTGTAGCTAGGTTTTAAGTTTTTCTTACTACAGTTACGAAATCTTGCTGTCCTTGATTTTAGACTTTGAAGATTTGGAAGGAATGACTTGTGAAAACTGTCACTTCTATTTGCCTGCAGATCTAAATGTCACAAGCAGGGAAATGATTGAAGAATCCATTGACATTATAAAGTCCATCAGATCATTGGAATGATTTCTGTATGAGTACAGTATGTCATCTGTAGGCAAGTCAAGTGCCAAAGCATTATCGGGTTGTAGTACTAGAACCGTAAACTTCACATGAAGAGGTATTGGAAAAACTCCTCCTAGAAATTAGATGACATTAAGTGGCCTTGGGAACCTGACATGAAAGGAAAATAGTTTACTCCTTCAACCTGGCATCTGCATAAGAGCAGATGAATGAACAAGAGTGATAACAAACATCGCTCACAAGCTTTGTTTTACTACCATTCTCCGCTCCCATTCCATATTTTTTTTCCGGAATACATTTAGCTGGTAGTCTCAACTGGAGTGCCTATCCATATCCTTCCCTCGAAGTTCTGGTGCTATCCCATTTCTTGCTTACATAGAGTTTTATAGTGCTACTTTTTTTTTTCCTTCCTCTGCAACAGAACTTGGATCTAACTAAAAGAAAAATGCTTCATGAAGGGCCTCTAACTTGGAAGGTTAATCGTGACAAAACTATTGGTGAGTCCTATTCTGTCTAGAGTTGGACTTGTGTGTGTGCGTGCACTGAGAAGGAGAGAGAAAGAAGACATATCTGCAGTTTCCAATTATGATTTGTACTGCTGTCTATAATAATGCCTGTGTGTTTCTCAGAGCTGATTAAATTATTCTTGTCACTTCTGAAATGGGCTAGAGTATCATTAAGGCCATGCAGGGACACAGCAGTCAGTCATGAGATGATCCAATCCCATCTGCAGCTTTCTGATGTGGTTTTGATGAGGAAGATTTGCAAGCTTTGCCGAGAATGGCATAGCACTGATTACTGCCTCTGCATGAGTAATGGAAAACGCAGTCTTTTCTTTCTGCGGGGATGTGATAGAAAACTCTGAATCTTTAACTCATTCTGGGTTAATTTGCACTCTCCAGATCTCTACACACTGCTTCTGGAGGACATTCTGGTACTGTTGCAGAAACAAGATGACAAACTGGTTCTGAAGTGTCACAGTAAAATCTTGGCATCCACGGCTGATAGCAAGCACACCTTCAGTCCTATCATCAAACTGAACACTGTTCTGGTTCGTCAGGTGGCAACAGGTTAGTGTAACAAATAGGGAAGACTGAAGAAGAAGCTGAAAATGACAACTAAGTAGCTTGAGGAAAGATGCTTTTGTCTGCAGTTCCAAATAGGACAGAAAAAAATGCGTAGCCTTAATTCTTGGCTGTCCTACATCTTGCTTTATGAATCTGAATGAGTTAACATGTGTGTTAGTTACCTACTAGTATTTTTTTATTTTTAAATACATTTATAAGTTAAAATACTCTGATCTTATTAGATGAAAGGTACCATAGAAATGGAAATTGTTAGGAGGAAAGAGGGGGGGAAATGCATCTGTTTCCAAGTGATTCAAAGAGAACAGCTCTTATTTTTTAGGATTAATAAAAAGAAATCTGGAGAGAGARAGAATTATCTTTGTGTGGCAGTGGAGAGTTATTTCACAAAGTCTTGCTTAATTGCATCTGGTTGGAATCACACTGGGTTTCTAGGAATTTATAGAAAACTGTGCAGGACAAGACATCTAATTAAATTCTTCCCTCCCTGTTTTGCTTCAGATAACAAAGCTTTCTTCGTCATCTCCATGTCAGAAAATGGTGCTCACATTTACGAACTGGTTGCACAGACTGTTTCAGAAAAGAATGTGTAAGTAATTGGTTCAGCTCCATCTGCTGTTTGATTTGTTGTACTTGAGAGAACTTTTACATCTGCTTGCCTGTAGTAACGTGCAGCTGTTGATGAATTACCTGGGTTCCTTCTCTAAGCTCACGTGAGAACATAGCTGTGTTAGGAAGGTGGGATGTACTGGAGGTGTGTTCTCTTGCTGCTTTAAACCATTGCATACTTATATTTTATTGAGGATGCGTATATGTGTACACACACACTATGTATATATATATATATATATATGCACTATATATATATACACACACACACACACACACACACATATATATATATATATATATGAATAAAATATCCCTAAGTTATAGTGTCTTGTGTGAGTGTGTACTTCTAAAGTATAAGCAGGGCAGAAACTTGTTTGTGTGATGTATATCAACTGTTTTAGAGCATCATGTACGAAACTATTCAGTAATACACAAGAAGTGTTTTTCAATGCTTTCATATATATTTAAGAAGTGTTTTTCAATGCTTTCATATATATTTGTACATAAAGTAACTGACTTGCCTAACAGCTCCTGCTAAGGTCCCATCATTCATTTTCTTGTGCTAAGGAGTATGTAATGAGGTGAGCGTTAAACTGTAGCACTTTACTTGTGACTGGAAGATATTACTGAGTCATTGACTGTAATAGATTAAAAAAGACTCTTTTGTTGATAAGAAAAACAGTTAAGAAAAGCAGTAATTATATACGCTGAATTTAAAAAGTGTTCAATGCAGCAGTGTCATTATGCTTCACTTCTTACATGTATTTGTTTGATGTCTCTACTCTAGATGGCAGGACCTTATAGCTCAGATGGCAGGGACTGTTAAAGTGGAGACTACCAGAAGAGTGATACCATTACCGCAATCAGGACCTGGCGAGTAAGTGACAGTAGCTGAGGGAGGAAGGATTGATGTTTCTTTTCCCAGTAGCCCCTTTTCTGCTCAAAATCGTCAGCCAAAGTGCTGATGTGCATGCAGCGATTCAGATACCTGTGACTACATGAATGTGTTGGTTCTTTCCTCCCTGCAGAGAAGAGCGTGAAGAAGAGGAGCAGCAGAAGCTCAAAGAGCAGCACGACATTTCTGCAAGCAGTCTACAAAGCCCAGGTAAAGGAAGCATTAAATTCGCTATAAGGAGTGCGAATGTGCTCAGCCTTGCTCCTTTTGTCYTCAGGATCATCTGGTACCATTGATGTTTCTCTGGAAAGGAAAGACTTCTTTACAAGTCTTATAAGGAAGTCAAAATCAACTTTATTTTATTTATGTTTTGTAATGCGTACCTCTTAGTTTTTTCATCTGACTTGTAAGTTGCTGGAAAACATTTTCTCTGTGAAAAAAAGTCATCCTTTTACTAGAGACTATGCACAAAAAATATGTTTTTTAGTGTTTTCAGAGGTGTCAATGTGAAGCAAAAGTTTCTGCAGTTTCACTTCATACTTCAAATAGTTATTTAACATGAGTGCTTGTTTTCTATTTACAAGATAAAGATTTGGGCCTCGAATCTTCCTTGATACCAAATGCTGAGTCTTCTTCACCCATCATGTCTGAAAAGTCCCAAGTAGGAAATCTTCTTGTGACAGAAAGACAGTTTGATAAAGTGCATCAGGCAGACCTGTCACTTAAAGATTCTTCTGCGTGCTTTGAACACACAACCACCAATTCACCTTTGGTATCCGAAGGACAATGGGCACTGGATGCATTGAGGAACTGTAAGTATCTGTGGGCAGTGTCTGGTGCAATATAATTTGAACATGGGAGGCATTAGGTCAACTTTCTGAATCAATGAGCTAAAGTAATATCTCATGTCCATTTTGATTAAAATCCATGTGTCCCTGTGCTGCAAATCACAGCATAGCAAAATAAAGTGGATCTGACATGAAGGAATTCTAAAATATAAATTTATGTAGTGGTGCTTTCTTTGGCTTTAGGGTGTCATCTCATTGGTTTATTATGGTTTTCCCATGTATGAAGTGAAGGTAATACCAGACTGTCCTTGAAAAACTGGTGACAAATTGACATAGCAGAGCTTTGTGCAGTGCTGTGAAGGATCATTGCTAGTCAGCAGTGATTTAAAAAACAACACAGCCTGCGGACTTCTTTTTACAACTCTGGGCAAGTAATACGGGAGAGATTGCATGAGTTGGTGAATATGAATTTGCACTATTTTCACAAATTCATGCAAAAGAGGTAGGATATTTGCGAACTTGACAAACATTTAGGTTCAAATTTTTTAAGGATTTGAGGGATGATTGGGTCTAAGTAGATCAACATTTGCGTGAGTAGAAAAGCATTTTCCCTAGTGGACAGATTATTCTATGAAAATGTTTTTAGAAAAAATTTAATTGCTTCCTATTCTCTGGTATCAGCCCTTTTTTCAGAGGGAGGATGCCAGGAGTATATAACCTACTTGATGAGATCCATATAACCTTTCAAATATAACCTTTTAAAATTTGAATAAGTTCATTAATGCTGATACCTCTCTCTGGCAGTTCTGAATTGGAGGTGAAGTCTCTGAATTGTACTTGAAGTGAATAGTCTTTATTGCTTTTCTCTAGGTCCTCTGCTTTTGCTAGAATGCAGAGCATTAGTGTCCTTGGCATAAATTCCCTCTTCCATCTCTCTCTACAAGAAGTGACAATTTTCAACAATCTACTAGTTTATCTTGAGTCTTCTAATCCATTGTGAGATTCTCTTCTGATAGGATTCAAAGTCCTTTTCCAATTTTGAATCCTATACAAGTGTTCTTAGCATTTGTTCTCTGAGACCAGTAATAAGAGAATCTTAGTCTGTGAGGTATATAAAGTTAATACCATGTGACCTAACATCTCATGACTATTCAGACTGAAAGAAGCAGCCATCTAACAGCAGCAAAATGCAACTGGGTCATACACATGTTGAGAACTTCTAGCTCTTCTAAGGTGTTACCTTATACAGTGAGAATGGTGATCTTATATACTTATGTTCTTATGCCCTTAGCAAGATGGCATGTGTACTGCCTTGGGTTGTCCTCACTTGGAAAACAAAATAAGGAGTAAAGCTTTGGGACAGGACTTCAGAATTCATTTATTTCTTGTTACCCCTGTCTTTCCTCTTAGGAGTAATGAGGGGGCTGGCAGCTACAAGGTCTCTCTTTGTGAAAGAGTGTCTGTTGCGTGTGTTTGTTTAGTGTTACAGACGCTATGGTCTATGAAGCTTTGTGAATATTATCTCTAACTTGCAGTGGACTTGCTGAAGCAGCTGTTGGTACAGCAGTTTGGCTTTTCTGAGAAGGGGACCCTTGAAGATCGGCAGCACTTTCCCAGGTTCAGGACTGTTTCTCAAGAAGCCCAAGCGGAGAGTGGAAATGAGCCTGGAGAACAGCACTCTGACAGTGACAAATATTGCCCTCCTGGAGCAGACCAGGTGCTCCTGGGCACTGGCACTGATGAATCTACGGCTAGTTGTGGCCTCCGGACTTCAGCTGAATCACCAGCCTCAGGGGAAACCATGCAGCTCGTAGCAGGAGACCCCATATCAAGTAGCAACCTAGCAATAGACCACACAAGTATGAGTCTGGAGATGTCAACCTCGGAGCTGGAAGGAGTGGGTGCTGATGAAAGTGGGGAACGTTTTTTTGATGCTCGAGAAGCTCACAGTGATGAAAATCCATCCGAAAGTGAACTAATGGAAAGGAAGGAGGAAGAGGATGTTCAACTACGGATCTCAGGTGAGTATATTTCGTTCATTCATTGAATGACAGGCTGTCCTGATTTAGCTTTGGAGACTGAGTTCAGAATTTAGTAGAAGATGCTTAAAGATAATAATAGTATGTTTTCCTGATGAAGCCTCTTTTGCTAGTATGGTAGAGGACATTTAAAAGGAGTAGAAGCCCTCTAGTCCTTGAAAGTAATTTTAGCCATGAATAGGGCTGTACAAATACATATCTAATGAATTCTCTATTTTATGATACAAGAAACTGAAATACTGTGGGATTAATACACTGTTGCAAGCCATAATTGCAGAGGTATGAATGCAATGCAAGCTCTTGATTGCTGGACTACATTATCTCTAAGCTGGCTTTTGGGACCTGTGAGGAAAGCATTTTCCATGAAGGCAAAACACTGCCTTGGTCTGTGCACGCAGACCCCTGTGATTAAGGCTATTTTGTAGCTATTATTTTGGGGTTTTTTTTGATCGAGCTTTAAAAAAGAAACTCACCGTTTAGCTTTGCATTGTAATTGTGCCCTGTGACCTCACAGCCTGAAGTTCTTACAAACTTATTTTTACTATTACTATTACATGTGCTATATTTGATGGCTGCCTGGGCCGCCTCTCAAAGCATATCTCTTTGAGCTATCAAGAAGGTTTTAGAGCTGTTAACTCAGCAGAAAGCTGGCTCTGAGACAGCAAATGTAAGCACTTTCATGGGGCTTTGCACGCTTTGTGGTTGCAGAGTCCTTTGACTCTAATAAGCCAAAGTGGTGACATTGCACTAAATATAATACACCGGTTGTTCACATGAATGTTACAATGCAAGTAGCTGCTAGCAGGTAGATTCTGTATGACTGTTAGTCTTGGAATCACTTATCCGTAAACAGACTTTTATTTAAAAAATAGATTCTGTCAGCGTAAATTAGCCAATTCCCGACTGTCTGAATTCAATTCTATATTGAGAATACTTTTTCTCTCAATTACAAAGACATTTAGGTTACTAAAATTGAGCCAAAATCTTGAAGCATGTAATTTATTTGTCACCTCTTGTACTGTTTACCTTCTTAAGTGTGCAGGGACATTAAAATGAGATTGTCCCGTTTTCAGTCAATTCTGTTTCCACAGGCTAGCTTTACTTCAATACCGTAGAGAAATCATTTGGAACAATTCTGTTGCTAGGTGCAGGATGTGAAAACCTTCTTGTTAATAGTTGCTTGAAAACCTATCATTAGCAGGATTTGCCATCTAAACCCATCCTGAGGACCATAACTGGTAAATGGAGTTTAGAAATTTAACAGATTGTTTTGTTGGGTACTGTTAATATAAGCTGGAAGTTTTTGGACGTTCTGATATGAAAACACAGTTTAGAAAGGGGGGGGAGAAAAAAAAAAAAAAAAAAAAAAAAAAAAAAAAAATGAGCAAAGTGAATCATTTTGATTTTCTCCA